CCTTTGACAGCTAAACGTTTGGCCATTTCTTAGTAAAAATGGAATCAAAGCTACTTGACAAGCATTACCGAACAATTTTTTCCTGTGTCGGTCATTTGGCTATCACGAGCACCTTGGTAACGCGGAATTATTGCATTTATTTGAAGGACAGAAGTAACAAGGCAAATTAATTGTACCAGTAAGTATCCTGAAACAATCGTTTTGGTCCATCATCTGCTCCATTCAGTCAGTCTATGCCCTCTTAGAGTGACACGACTTTAGTCTTTGCGATCTTTATTATAATGCTGATGCAGCATAAAATCAGGTGCACTTGTATATTTACTCTCTGTGGATGCTGTATTAAAAATGGAGTCCATGCCTTAACAAAAGACCTTGAGTGGCAAATTAGTATTATTAGTATTAGCGTGTAATCATGGTGTTGTGCTCACCAAAATGAGAAGTCAAGCATCACTGTCAGACAGATGCAGACCACCGTGAGTCTTCTGAAGCCTAGTGAGTTGGCGAAGGAAGCATTGCTAAGGCGCATCAAAGCTATGACTAAGCGGATAATGGTGGAGTCTCAGTAGCTACGGCTGCGGTAATATTAATGTTGATGGTAGTGGTAGTGGTGAAAGTGACTGCAATATTGAGCGGATTGGGGTGCCGTAGCTGCTACTTTTGAGTCAGCATTTAGTGCTGATCCGTGGCTGTCCTCTCCACCCTGCTTAGCCACTGAAGACATCCCAGAGTCATGTTTTCGACCTTTATCACCGCATTTTATTTACTTTTCAGTGATGCGAAAGAGGTTTTTATCATCAGAAAAAAGGTCAAAGACCGGAAGTTGTGAAGGAACTAGGATGCATGCAAATAAATAAAATAAAAGGAAAATCATACCAAAGAATAGTGGCATTAAATGTTCCTTATGACCATTTCTTCCAATATGCACGAGATGCTTGTTTGATCCAATTTGTATTTTACACCGGCCGTCATCAGTTCCTAGGGCCCAAATGCTTTCTGTGTGCTCTCTGAGTACCCTGTTATTTCACTGGGTGATGGTACTCTGCTGCAAAACTTTTGCTG